TAGATCATATAGTGAAAGTGCATTATTTCTTTGAAAATCTTCTTCTCTACTCCTGGTTATTATTGAAACAAATTAAATACATTTTTATGACAAGCAAGAGTGACCCTACCAAAATTGTGGAATTCATAGCACCAGGGTCAGGGGGGTGTATTTTGTTTAAGTGTGAAGTTTCATTCCATGTGATTTAATAGAGTTTATGTTATTTAATTTTAAAATCAACACGTTTTGTAACCACGGAACAAACTAAACAACAATGTCACGTCAAAAACATACCGATATGATGTTCTCAAAAATACAATCCCTATACATTTCACACAGTATTGCCCAATACCAATGCACTCGTTAGAACGTTTCTCTATCACTTGAAATCTATTTTGCTAACGATTGTTCCAGTAGCATTATTTTGTTTGTCAATGTTATATATTTTTCACTGCATAAGTCTGCTTTCACAAGATCAGCATCTGTAAACCACCAAATTCTTAGCATGACGTTACTAACTTTTCAATGTTTTTGATAAGATTTTTTACAGATAATCCGTTTTCTCACAGATCATCATCGTCTAAGCAGAGTAGTCTATCATTCAAATACCGCTTGTACCATGTACACACAAATCATGGCTCGCTTTTGACATATTTCCTACTTCCTCTGACATTTTCAGTTTTTTTTCTGGAGTTTTCCAGAGTACAACACAAAATTGTATGGTTAACTGCTGCTCCGTGACGTTCTACGACGTCATCTCTTTTTGCCTTTTTCAATGAGCACTACCTATCTTCTGAAACTGATTTCTTTCCAACGAAGCAAAATATTAGGTCATAATTTGGAATCAGAAACGATGAAACAATACTTAATTTGAAACTGTAGAATTTTTTCCGTTTTTATGTCATTTTACAGAAGTTATGACTTCAGATATTATTTAATGTCTTCATTGTAAATTACAAAATTCTGACCTGCTCCGTGATCCGATTTTCGCATTTTTAAAGTCTAAATAAGTTTGAAATAAACCACGATATTTAAAAAAAAAATTAATACACATCATTTGAATTTACTATTGAAATATTTCTTCCAAAATTGGATATAATATGACGTTCAGTATAAAAGTTATGACGGTAGTCCACGAACTTTTTGAACCCTCGTATAGTGAAAGTGCATATTTCTTTGAAAATCTTCTTCTCTCTTCCTGGGTATTAATTAAACAAATTAAATACATAGTTATGATAAGCAAGAGTAACTCTACCAAAATTGTGAAAATCATAGCCCCAGGGTCAGGGGTTCTGGTGCTAGGGCGGGGCTATATAAAACATATAGAGAAAGTGCTTTTTTTTTGTTTGAAAATCCTCTTCTCTACTCCTGGGTATTATTTAAACAAATTAAATACATAGTTATGATAAGCAAGAGTGACTCTACCAAATTGTGGAATTCATAGACCCAGGGTCAGGGGTTCTGGTGCTAGGGCAGGGCTATATAAAACATATAGTGAAAGTGCATTATTTCTTTGAAAATCTTCTTCTCTACTCCTGGATATTATTGAAACAAATTAAATATATAGTTATGACAAGCAAGAGTGACTCTACCAAATTTGTGAAATTCATAGACCCAGGGTCAGGGGTTCTGGTGCTAGGGCAGGGCTATATAAAACATATAATGAAAGTGCATTATTTCTTTGAAAATCTTCTTCTCTACTCCTAGATATTATTGAAACAAATTAAATATATAGCTATGACAAGCAAGAATGACTCTACCAAAATTGTGAAATTCATAGACCCAGGGTCAGGGGTTCTGGTGCTATGGCGGGGCTATATAGATCCTATAGTGAAGGTGAATTATTTCTTTGAAAATCTTCTTCTCTGCCCCTGGGAATTATTTAATCAAACTAAGTACATTGTTATGATACGCAAGGATGCCTCTTCCAAAATTGTGAATTTCAGGGCCTCTGGATTAGGGGTTCTGGTGTTAGGGTGGGGCTCTTTTTATTACATAGTGAAAATGTATTAATGCTTTAAAAATTTTCTTCTCTGCCCCTTGGTATTATTTAAACAAACTAAGTACATTGTTATGATAAGCAAGGATGCCTCTTCCAAAATTGTGAAATTCATGGCCCCAGGGACAGGGGTTCTGGTGCTAGGGTAGGGCTATATAGATCCTATAGTGAAGGCGAATTATTTCTTTGTAAAATCTTCTCTGCCCCTGGGCATTATTTAAACAAACTAAGTACATTGTTATGATACGCAAGGATGCCTCTTCCAAAATTGTGAATTTCATGGCCCCAGGGTGAAGAATTCTGGTGAAAAGGGGGGGGGGGGCTCTATTGATTATATAGTGAAAAAGCAAAATTTCTGTAAAAATATTCTTTTCTGCTTCTGGTTAAAAAGCAAAGAAGCTAGGTGTATAGTTATGATGAGCAAGAGTGCTTCTTCCAGAGTAGTGAATTGCATGACCCCTGGCTCAGATATGCTGGTGTAAGGGTGGAGCTCTTGATAATATAGTGAAAATGCATTAATTCTATTAAATAATCCTGTCTGCTCCTTAGTGTTAAGCAGATAAACAAAGTGATTACTTATGATGAACAAACTTCTGGTCCCAGGGTGAGAGGCTCTGGTGTTTCTCGATGGGGAAGGGGAGGGGGGGGGGCTCTATTGATAATATAGTGAATCTGTAGTAAAAATGCATTATTTCTTTAAAAATCTTCTCTGCACCTGGGTATATCAGAGGCAAAAAGAGTAAAAGTTTTAATAAGGAAGGGTATTTTTACCAGATTTTTTGAACATCTGGACCATATGGTCAAGTGTTCTGGTCCTGGCCAGGGCTCTATTAATTTGTAATCTACTGAGAGGAGTTATTCCCCTTTGCTATTTAGTTTTGATAATAAATCACTGTAAGTAATGTACTTGAAAGGTTCATAGAATAAGAGAATTACGTAAGAATTTTTATTGTAAAATACAAAAAGTACTTTCATAGTTTTAATGATCAAGTAGAATTGTAAGTAATATAGATAAATAAAAATGAGACAAAAATAACTTGTCTTATTAAATGTTCATCAAAGACCAAGAGAGGCCAATGTAAGAGATTTCAACAAGGAATTAAGATAGTACAGAAGCACTGATAGTTTGTTAACATACTGTATGGTGATAGTGATAAATGGGGAACAGATTAGAACCTAATTTATGAACTGTTAATGAATGCTAGACTAATTATTTTATTGATCCTGATCACCCTATTTTTCTTGCTTTGGGACAACAAAGCTTCATCTTTCAGTTCGTTTAATACTCTATGCATCCTCTAAATTGTTGTATTATACTCAGGTGACTGTTAAGGCCCTTGGGTCTCTTGTTGTCTTCATATGAAACAGAATTTATTCGAAGACTTGTACATGAGAAGAAGAAAACACTTGATGTGCCTTTCAACTCGACATTTAGATGTATCGATGACGTATTATCAATTACAGTAGTTACTTCCATTCATATGTCGACTCAGTATATTCAGGTGAACTTGAAATAAATGATATCACAGAGTCTGACACATCTGTTTCATATTTCGATATTTTACTAGAAAAAGACGTTAATAGTAACCTACTGACAAAACTGTATAATAATTGATAAACGTAATTACTTCAACTTTCTATCGTCAACTTCCCTTACTTAAGTAGCAATATACCCTTATATATAGGGGTTTATGTCTCCCAACTCAAGGTCGAAATTAGGCTCAAATTTTTAGTGAGAAAAGGGAACTTGGGGTCATTGGAATCCCAAGCGGGTCCAGGGAAGTGTCCTGATGGGGATTCGGGGGGGGGGGGGGAGGGGGGAGAAGAGGAGTTCCTACGACTAATAAGACCAAAATGAAATTTTGCAAATAACTTTCTAGCTTACATTAATTTTAAAATGGTTGTAACATCTTTTGACAAGAATTTATAAAGATATTTTTATGCTAGTAATTTTAACTGAATCATTATTCTTTGATAAATTTTACAATCCACTAAAGTTTTTGGTCATTGTAGTAAGTTCTTTGGTAAAACTGGCCCCTGAATTTTAGTAAATTAAAGACAACCTTTGAAAGTTTTCACGTTTTGACATCTTTACATGCGTTCTAAATTATAATCGATTTACAGAAATTGAAACAAAAGTTGAAAGTAATAATTTAGTAAGAAGACAAACATAATTAATTCAAGCTCAAAGAAAAACTTTTTTACTTTTATGAAAACTCTAAAATTTTAGTGAGGCATTTGCCTCACTTGCCTCAATGGAAGTTACGGCCTTGCAACTGATTCGATGTGCAAGAGTATGCTCTACGTACGAACAATTAATTTTCTAAAACGAGGCAAGGTATTGACAAACAGTTTGATGAAACAAGAGTATCAACTGTTTCGTTTAAAGTCAACATTTTGCAAGTTCTATGGTCGATACAATGACCTTGTCAGCAAATACAATCTATCATTTAGTCGAATTTTACGTATTGAATAATCTAAGGATTTTTCAGTTTTCCCAGTTGTGACAAGAAGCAAATGGCGTGTGTGACCGGTCGGCAGGGGATTCTTTCTCCCACCTCTGATGTTTTTAGAGGTCCGTGTTTGCTCTGCTCTTGATTTGTATTTTTTCTATAGACTCTTGAGCTTGATTACTGTTCGTTTTCTACATATTTGAATTTTAAAAATGTCTTTTGCACTCATGGACATTTAGCGAACAAATTGTTTGCATTATTATTATGATAAATACTCTCTACCAAAATTATAACAATTATGGTTCCTTAGTCCATTGTTCTTTCTTCGCATGATTATCAATTTGCATTGTTTCAAAATTATGAAATACATGCCTCCCCTCCCCCAACCCATGGTTCAGGCCTCTGGATGGTGCTAAATTTCAATTGTCATATATTGAAAAGATGCATCACATTTTTTTTAAATCTCCTTTTTTCTGAAAAACATACTGTGGGCAAACTGATAAAAATGAGTATTTAAACCTTCACCAACTGAAAAAAATAGACTCGGGTTCAATTTTTCATTAACGTACCTCTAGCATGTGGGGCTTAACGTTACTCTGCACGTGTCTTTGGCCGACGTAACTAAGGAAGCTTTGGATTAGTGTAGGGTTGTCAAGGTTATCTACCACCTTTCCAATCCCTTTCATGACGATCATCACGTGATGCTGAAGGTTTTCTTCGTGCACTGTCAGTTTTTCATTGTTTTCGTCCGTTTGAATTATTTTTGGAAAAAGGAGAAGAATCTCCGACTCTAAATTCTTCAGAAAACTGGAAAAAAAGAATTAACATATGTTTTGCAAGAAAAAAAAAACAAAACAAAAAAAAAAACAAAACAAAGAACAAACAAGTACAATAATGATCACATATTATACATGTTCTTTCTAAAGATTTTGCCAGAAGGAAGTTCATAGCGCATTATGGTGTCTGTACGAACACAAAAGGAGATTGACATAATTATAAACACCCCTACCCAAATATGTTCTTTTCATGTTTTAAATTCAGCTTCTGTAATTTTTTTTAATCTTCCCTGTATGATTTAAAAGAAATAGTTTAATCATGTGTTTTTATTTTCAAAAAATACAATAAAAATCTGGTTGAGTTGTAAAAAGAAAAATATTTTAGTAAATTATTAAGTGATATAATTACTGTCCTTGATTAATGCTGGGGAAGACTAGGCAGATAACTCTATAAAGAAGCATGTGTTTTGCGTATTGTGTTAAAAAAAATAACAGAATTGCATTGAATTGAAATTCAAATTGAAAGCAAAACTAATTTTAAAAAAAAGTAATAAAAACTATTTATATAGCATATTAACAAAAATAAAATAATAAAAAAAAAGACCTTAAACTTAAGTTTTCTTGAGTGACCGTTATTCTCATTTTGACTGTATTTTGTCTGTACTTTAACTTTATAGAGAGTGTTAACTGACGATCAAGTTGTACTAATATGTATCGACAAGCAAGTTAATTTCCAAAACTATTTAAACCTGAAGCTATGACTTTTTTATATTCCGTGGCAGTCCACTCCACGTGTGTCCGTTGACCGATTATTTACTGACAACAAAGCAAGTGTCTGCCTACTTTATATATGTTGCAATACTTTGAAAATTACGCGTGCAGATTTTCACAACTTACGTAACTGAAAAACTCAATAAATTATTATATATACAATTTACTTGCATATCGATTCCAATATATCTCGCATCAAACGATTGAGGGGCAGTATGAAAACAAGCTATCCTTCTGTATTCAATAATTCAGAAGTGAAAAAAAGAATTAGATAGATTACACGATCAGTAAGTACTGGTCCCTACTGAAAGCAGGTAACAACATTGTCTTTGTAAGGCTCATTATATAAATTGTATTTTAGAGGAACTGGGATTTAATTCTACAAGTGGACCAACTTATACCCATAGCTCCCTTTCTAAGGAGGAAATTCTTCAAAATCATATGTCAGTTTTGAATATTTTTTTAATATTCCAAACAACCAAAATGCATTTGAATTACAATATCTATATTGGATTCCTAAACGTCATAAAAATCCTTACAAACAGAGATACATATCGGATTCCAGTAAATGTTCAACCAAGCCTCTTTTTTTACTCCTCGCTAAAATATTAAAAGCACTGAAGGAGAAACTTCAGGAGTACTGTGCAACAATATATTCGAGAAGTGGTGTAAATCAGATGTGGATACTTAAAAATTCCAAGGAACTTTTAGAACATTTGAAATCACAAAATTTTAACAAAATCAACAACATAAAATCTTACGACTTTTCAACTTTATATACAACTATTCCCCACGATAAATTAAAGTCCAGACTTTCTGACATCGTTGACAGCTGCTTTTTCAATAAAGATGGAACTCGTAAATATACTTGCATTGTCATTGGTCAATTGCAAAATTACTTTGTTAATAAACATTCTGATTGTACACACAAGTACTCTGAAGTTGAAATTAAAAAGATGCTCGAGTTTCTGATTGACAATATCTATGTGGTCTTGGAGACCAGGGCCGGGTTTCACAAAACTGTTGTAAGATTTGTCCTAAGATAGATCTACGATAATCTTAAGATCTGACTTATGACAATCATAAGATTTGTCACTGCTGTTTCACAAAACTATCTTAAATACAGGAATTCTTAAGACAAGTCTTAATACAAATTCCATTCTTTAATATCACAGGGACTTTTTTTTATAATATGTTTGCACGAAGTTTAGTTGTCTTTCTTTAATTTTCTTTGAAATATTGAAATAATAGTGTGTATTATATAATTTCTTTTGCAGATATACCATCGGAAAAAACATTTTATGGCACCAACTTCAATGTAATTTGTGTGTGTGTGTTGGGAGGGGGGTTCATAAAAAACTAAATTTGAATTAATTTCATCACAAAAAATTATTGAATAAATTTTGCTTAAATGTCTTTTTGCTCAGAAAATAGTAGTTGCTGACGAAATGTATGTGATACTGCTTTTAATTAAAGCTACTAGGGTATCTGAACCTTTGCAAATAATGAATGATTTTAGCAATGAATCCTTTTGAAACACCAAATCGTGTTCAAAGTTCGTTCATAAAATTCGATGAAAGTGTCTCTGAAACGCTGTAACTACTGCAACAAAATAGCAATGCTAACAGACGAAAAAGAGAAACGAAAGAACAATTTCTAATCAAAATTTTACAGTTTCAATACTATTAAGAAAGCATGTACATGCAGGATCAAATGTTACAGCAGTAATTATATTGAATTTTCATACACATTCCGGTGGATTAATGAAGGATACCGCAAGAATTAGAACTATTTGAGTTTCATCTAATTTTGTAAGACTGAAAGAAATGTTTACTTTCAAATTTCTAAAAAAAAAAATCACCACAATGTAACAAAATAAATTAAAGTTAAACGTCTAAAACTGCAGGGTAGCTACACAGAAGTTCGATTTTTTTTTTACTTTCATGGGCGGGACTTATCCAATCCATAAAAATGCATATATTTCGTATTTTTATTTATTCAAAATATATTTACTTAGCCTATCAATAAATAATCTAGCTACATGTATCTCGAATTACTTTAGCCATTTTTAAAATTGCATAAATAAGCAATGCTTGGTCATAGAAATTGTGATATTCTTGCGGGGTATTAAATTCAAATTAAACAATTTTGAATAAAGTTACATATGATATCTGGCTCCGGGGCCATAAAACTTAGACGAGCTCACTTTTGATCTCAGTCTCACTTTTACCAAAGGAATTAATAGTAGAAAAGTGAGACTGAGATCAAAAGTGAGCTCATCTAAGTTTTATGGCCCCGGAGCCTGGATCTTACATACATGTACATATATACATGGCCGTAAGAAGCATTTTTTGGGGGGGGGGGTGCAATTTCAGTTGGGAGGGGGGCACAACCAAAGAAAAATGTCTTGAAATGAATAAAGTGGCACAAACAGAAAGTAGGTACATTTTAGGTTTTTTTTATCGTATATTTATTGGCAAATTATTGGGGGGGGGGGGGTGTCACTGTTCCGACTGGCCTGATATAGTCCAAAGGGTTGTTCTATCTCTAAAAACCGTTTTCTTTAAATATCCTTCGGTTTTTAGCCAAAAAATATACTGTCACCAGTTTCACTTTAGACTTAAGACAGGTATCTAGTTGTCTTAAGATTAAGATAGATCTTAAGATTATCATAAGATATGACAGTTTTGTGAAACGGCTATGGTGCAATCTTAAGATAATTTTCGGTCTAAAGACAGATCTTAGTCATAAGATAGTTTTGTGAAACGGGCCCCAGGTCTTCTAACAATCTACTGGAATTCCCATGGGTACCAATAGCGTCCCGTTATTAGCAGACCTATTTTTGTATTCATATGAAGCAGAATTTGTTCAAAATCTTATATATAAGAAGAAGAAAACACTTGCTGTGGCTTCAACTCGTCATTTAGATATATCGACGACGTATTGTCAATTAATAATGGTTATTTCCATACTTATGTCGACACGATATATCCCGGTGAGCTTGAGATAAAAGTTACCACAGAGTCTGACAAATCTGTTTCATATTTGGATATTTTATTAGAAAAAGACGTTAATGGTAATCTAACAACGATGCTTTATGATAAACGTGATGACTTTAACTTTTCAATCGTCAACTTCCTTTACTTATGCAGCAATATACCCTTATCACCTGCAAACGGGGTTTATATCTCGCAGTTGATTCGATACGCCAGAGCATGCTCTACGTATGAACAATTTCTAAAACGAGGTAAGTTATTGACAAACAAGTTGATGAAACAAGAATATCAGCAGTCTCGTTTAAGGTTATCATTTCGTAAGTTCTATGGTCGATACAATGTCCTTGTCAGCAAATACAATCTATAATTAAGTCGAATGCTGACTGACGTTTTTCATACAAATTGTTAGGGCATTATTAGCTGCAATAATGTAGCCCTCTCCTATTTTTTTAATCTGATATTTTCAGGAGAGGGCTACAATTCCACTGCATCTCCGTAATGGTGCAAATATATTTTTTAGATACGGGCGACTGCAGGCAAAATAAATTGTTTTTGCATTCAACTTACTTCCAATAAGACGGAATTTTTATTCACTATCAACATCATAGCCCTTTATAAGCGAAAACCAAGTAAAATAAATCTGCGTGTTTACCAGTCGTACTCTTCAGTAGACATGACAGTTCTCGCGTGATGTACAGAGACTTGCGCTTGAATTTTAGAAGCACTTGATAAAGTAAATGTCGGTGTTGATAAATGTGTTGTATGATATCACTAAACATCGATAAATAAAAGCATCCCATGTGATATTTTTTTCATAAACAGTGATATTTATGCTTAAAATAAGGGAAATCCTAAATGATCCGCTCCCCTAGATCCCGATTTTTCATTGGTTGTCCCAAAATAAAACCAATCAAGGTCAGTAAAACATGGCGGATAAATTCAAGTTGTGATTTGACATACACGAAAAATAACCGATATACGGATTGTTCTGTATATTTTTGGATCAATTCATGTCTTGCATAACTACATTTTATGAGTTCGGGTAAGATATGTTAATAAAATACCCACTTACTGATAATTCGAGCCGAAATCTGTGCGGTAGTGAATCACTCCCGCACTTGCACCATTACGGAGATCCTAAGGAGTTGTAGCCCTCCCCCCCCCCAAAAAAAATCGAAGAGGGCTACATTGTTGCAGCTAGGGCATTATGTACACATTGAATTGTCTATGAATTTTTCTGTTTTCCCGATCATGACACACGGCG